GATGACAGAAAATATATGGTTTTATCACTGTTAACCATTCAATATCTCTGAAAAAAGTAGAACCTATCGTTGGTTTTGAAATTTTTTAGAAAACCGAAAGTAGGGACGATTGGATTTTGGTTTAGATGCCATAACCATATACCCATGATTTGTAACCAGGTATGTCCCTTTTGAGCAAGTATGGATTGCCGTTGACGTCATTCAACAATTCCAGAGCAATGCTAGAAGGTTTTTTGGTCAAAATTCAGTAATTTTTTAACGAACTTCGCTTCCATAAGCCTCACGCTCAAAATTTTCGAAAAAATTGCATGGCATGAGCCAACCGATATGCCAACATTCTCAGCAACTTCTCTAATAGTGATTCGACGATTCTCCATAACAATTTTCTTCACTTTCTCAACATATACATCGGTTGTTGATGTGCTGGGGCGTCCAGAGCAAGCGACGTCATTCACATCTTCTCGACCTTCTGTGAAAAGCTTGTACCACTTGTAAACATTTTTATGACTTAGAGTACAATCACCGTATACCACTGTCAACATTTCAAGTGTTCTTGAGCAGTTGATTCTATTTTTTTCTTTGATCCATTTTATCAATAGCAGAAAATCGTCGAACATGCAAAACACTTCTAACCTCTCAACAACTAACTGAATATGCTAAACAGCTAAAACTGTACATAGTAAAAATCAACCAGTAAGTCCACTCCCACTACTTTCATTTATAAATTCACAAAGTTCTCGGTGCCCTCGAAACGAAGTGTGGAGCCAATTTCGTTCTTTTATATAAAACAAAATTTAAGGTTATTGTAGAATAGTTTGTGGTAAATTAATTATAACCAACTACAAAAACTAAAAACAATAATAACAACAATGAATTAACTAAACACAGTATCAATTTCCGACCGTTTATTATAACTAATCCGATGTCCGTAGTAACGTCAAATCCTTCGATACTACAGCACTGAACATGTTGGATGAGAATCTCATCTTAAGAGCGGTTGAAGGTCCCCGGCGACTCGGGCGAATCACGTGGTAAGAGTAGTGTTGTAAATGGAAATATTTCCAACGGAAACGGAAATATTGGAAATTTATGAACGTACTTTGGAAATTTCGGAAACATTGAAAAATTTCAATAAAATATTATATTTTTGTCATAAACAATTCGAATTTGATGTTTATTAAGCCATAAACTCACAATAGAAGAATTTTCAAATATGAAAGATTCATTAGTTTGCAACTAAGTTGCAAAGACATACTGCACAGTATATAGCTGAAGAAATGGGTAAGATAATTAAAAAATACGGATCAAACAAATTCTAAGGATACGTATCAGATAATGCAAAAAATATGCAACTTGCTGGAATTAAACTAAAGGAAAAATATGGAATTATTCCAAATGGTTGTCTTTCCCATGGTCTTAATTTGTTATGTAATGATTTGCTTAAAATTATTACTATATCGACTCTGATTGATAAAGTTACAGATATTGCAAAAGAGATTAAGAATAAACAAGTTTTGTATGAACTTTTGCGGATAAAACAAACAGAAAATAAAAATGTAGAGCCAAATGCAGGTGCCATACAATTGGCCGTAAAAACTCGATGGTCTTCAATTTTTAACAGTTTAAAAAGTGTATACAATACTTGACTCAGTTTACAAGTAGTTGCAGTTAGCGAAGAAGCAACACAAATTATTAATAAAAATGTTGAACAGTGAATATTAGATAGGAGGTATTTTGGGGTCAAATTTCCAGCCTAATTAATATCTTTGAACCTATTGGCAAATGGCTGACAGTTGTAGAAGGAGATTATGACAGTATTCACTTTGCTGTAAAAGCATTCAGCGATATTAAAAGGGTAATTCAAAACAACCTTGAATTGTTCCCACTTAATGATAAAGAGAAGTTTCAGTTGCTAGAGTTTCTTGACAAAAGAGAAAAGTTTGTTATTAAGCCTATACATTATACTGCAGAATTACTTAATCCAAAATCACAAGGTTCTGAACTTGATGAAACACAAATTATTTTAGCCATAGAGTGCATAATTTATATAACAAAAACTAAGCTCAATATAAATGAGCAAGACATAATAGATGACATAGCAAATTACCGTCGTAAGAATGGCAAATTATTTGGAAATAATATGGAAAAATACCTTTGATAACCCACTCTCCTGGTGGAAACGACTTTGTTCTTCATCTTTACTTTCCAATATCTCCAATATTTCCATATATTTCCGATATTTCAGGAAATATTTCCAAAAAATATATTTCCGGAAATTTTACAACACTAGGTAAGAGTGCCTACTGGTTGTATTATTCTACCGTGTTGTAAACTATGTTTGAGACGAGAGTACCAACAAAAAAAATCGCCAATCGAATTTATGTAGTCTGCGAAATTAGGACATTTACCTAATTTTTTTAACAGACCACGTAAGGGCTAACCATTTTTTGCACATACATGCTGCATATTACTGAAATAACAGCAAAAACCCCTCCATACTTTGATTTCGATTTTACTAATATCGATATACTATGATTCGTTTCATTGAAATTGAAGAGATGTAGCAAGCATATCATGTAAATCTTCACGAAACTGGAAATATTTGTGAAATTTAAAGAATGATATCCATTTGGTTGAGTTCTGGAAGCTTTAAGGTATGATCTTCACCGAATTCCAAAGGAATGTGACAGATTTGATGCAGATTTTGAATAGGTATTGAAGGTAGAAAATAAGCAAATCCAACAAGATTATGTTTGAAAAAATTTAAACTTTTGGAAGAACTGTATCATTACAAACCTACTGCTACAATAAAAATCTCAATTTTAGGAAATAACTGGATGTTACAGGATCATAGAAAGTTAAAGGAAAAATATTTCTATTGTAGATTTTTTTATAGAGCAAATATAACAATACATGAGATCAATATCATAAAACGTTGCATATATTCTCATTAGAAAGTGTCTCAGAATCAGGAAGGTTGGCAACAATGTCTAAAAATAAAAAAAAAGTCTTACAGTAACTAAAGTTACCATTGAATCAACTCACAGAACAAATGAAAAGATGAATGTTAAAAAACAGTACACCACAATCCTAAGTTTATAAAGAAATACATGATATGTGCTGGTTTTAGTAAATGATAAATATTCTTTAGGTTTAGATTTCACAGTATAATGTTTTAAAACACACACTGAGGGAGAACACTTAAATTTTCAATAAAGGTTTTTTTTTCAGAAATCTGTACCTCCCTACTTGTTCAAGGAATATAGACAAAGAAGACACCAATTGTGATATAATTTGTGGAAGAAATGCATAGATGAAAATATTCCATTCTGTATGTGAAAGTAGATATGTCTCTCATAAACATACATGTAAATGACAGAAACACTTCATTTCTTTTCTTGGAACATAGTTTATGGAATATAACATAATTTATGGTATTATCAAAAAAAATTCTCTAATCGCAAATCAAAATGCAATAAAAAATTATTGTTAGTTTGAAACTTTCTGATCAAGTATGTCATCAAATTCAGAAATCAATGAACACTGTAAAACAAACTGCAAACATTTTTGGAAAAACGTGTTTGAATTCAGTTTTGGATGCAGCTAATGTGCAATTCTTCTTATCTAAGCACCTTTCATTGGACCTGGCTGTATCTTAGAAATATAAAAATTACTAGGGTTTAAAATTTTCGTTCAAACCATCTGTTGAAGTCATGAAAAATTTTATATGAGTCAAGATATTTCCACAAAACCAAATATAAGTGCAATTCACTGTACCTGAAGTTTAGCAAACAAACCAGAGGTCTATAATCAAAATTAAAGAAATGTTTTCCAATCTTCAGGAGTAATTCATATTATTGTATGAAACAATTTCTGATTTTCCTTTTTTGAATAAAAAAAGGTGAGGAAACAATAAACGATTCTACTTGCAGGTGAATGAAATAGTGCCTCTATGGCCAATAAATTATAATATTATTATAATATTATGGTGAAAACTAATGCAAGACTAACAGCACCAAATTTGTTACTTTCAGGTAAAAGATGACTTCCTCTTTCAAGATGTCTGTCTCCAAATGAAAGAATTTTGAAAAATTGTAGCTTAACGTATATCAAGTGTAACCTCAAAACGATACGCAGTTGACTTTGCTGCATTCTTCGAATATAAGTGGACTGTTAAAAAAACGAGGTGAATGTTTAAATTTCGCGGGCTACATTAGTGATTTTTTGTTTTACGTTGGTACACTCGTCTCGAACATATGATAAGAGTTTCAGCTGCTTAGCCTGTTTAGTTTGTTGGTGAGAGCCATAAAAGTTAGAAGTGTTTTGCGTGTTCAGCAATGTTCCACTATCGCAAAAAATGAATCAAAGAATTTGCATCAAATTTTGTGTAAAAAATGGAATCGAGTGCTCAAAAACACTTGAATTGTTGTCAGAGGCATACAGTGATTGTACTCTGAGTCACAAATATATTTAGTAGTTGTNCAGGTCCCAAGATAATATCGATATGTAATGTTTTGTTGTAATCATTTGACAAGTTCTACACCCATAAGGGTTGTTGTACCAAAGAACTAATAAAAAATATCTAACTATTTTAAGATTTCCATCAACATTTTTATATTCCCGTCCCAGAAAAAATTCATTTACAAAGCAATATTACGTCTGATACCCCTATTTGGAAAAGTAAGCAAATAACATAATGTGTTCTACTAAAGCAGTTCAGACAAACACTAACTTCTTACTTTTGTTATATTATGATTTTTTGCCTGAAAAAGTAATTGGCAAGTACTGTGAGTAATTTCAATTTTTCTACTTTTTTCAATGTATTATTGACGTTTTTTTAACAATTTTATTGAACATGTTCACCTATTGTATTACGTTTCTCATGCCCCTTTTTCAGGTTTGGATTGAACATTATTGAAAAAAAAACAACCTTTTGTACCAAGAAAACAAATGAACCAAAAATATCTGTTTGGCATGAAAAAAAAAAGATAAATTCTTACCAACTAGCTCAGGATATTCTTCGATGCCGGCAATATTTATATATTTTCTATGACTAGTACGAGAATCTTCACTTATTCTACTTAATATCGGAGGTAGGACAGCCCCGGTCTCAGACGGAGCACCTAAGTGGCCACGGTGTTCCGGACTCTCAGGTTTCCACTCATTATCAGTGGTTTCTTCACTATCATCAAACTGAGATTTCCACTGACTGGCCAATGTCAAGGCACCACCACGTGTCATCTGGAATTAAAAAGTTTATGTGTAACAGAATCAGTTGCAAAAAAAAACAAACGTTTTCTTTGTATTACCAGAACCATCAATATAATGAATCAGTACCTTTCTGTTTATTAAAAAAATCTCTATAAAAAATTACTTGTTTTTGTATCTTAGAAGACACGATTTTTACAAATTCAAATAACAATATTTATTTTTTGGGAAAGAAAGTTTTTGGTTTTTTACTACTACATCTTGAAACAAAAAAATGTGGGAATCTCTCAAAAAAAAAAGAAAGGAAGTAATCAATTCTATACATGGATGTGTAGATCATGCAAAGAAGCAACTTTCAGACACAAACTGGAAGAAAGCCCTCCTGAAACAGCTGTTTGAAAAATAATCTGTTTAAAATCTGTTTTTCCTTTAATCAGCTGTCGCCCCCATACGACCGACAACACTCAGAAGTTGAGAAACTTGTGCGAGCTAAGGACCAACGAGGTCTTACCTTTTAACGTGNAGCTGATAAGCCCCACTGTTCAAGACCATAGGAAATAACTGATTGAATTAAACTGGTATAGAAGCTTGAGAACATCAAAAGAGACTGTATGTTTTAATCGACGAAGTAAATATATATGTTTACTGAGCTTCAGTTTGACACTATCAACATGGAACTTCCAGGTAAGTTTATTATCAATATCAACACCTAAGAATTTAGTACAATTAACTTGATGTAAACTTTCATTATTTAATCTAACCAAATAGCTTTTATCAATTGTTGTATTTTTAGTAACAAAGTTGAGCATTTGAGATTTAGCAGAATTTAGCAGCAGGGCATTTATAGAACACCACTCAGAAGTTTGATCAGTTACTTCATTAACAATTACATTAGCTTTGACAATTACAGGGTCACTACAGACTAATTCAATGTTTATATGAAAGTAGTTGTTTCGAAAAGAATTTCTCTTCAAGTTATGTTTAAAAGTTACTTCTTTGTATGGTCTACACATCTTTGTAAATAGTTTATTTTTGAATCATTTGCTTTTTTCCTTTTTTTGAAAGATTCCTACATTTTTTTTGTATAAACCATAAATAATATATTGCCTGAACAAAAATGAGTTTTCTTTGTCTCTCACTGAATTTTACTTGAATTGGCAAATAAAAATTATTTTTCGCAAGGAAGGAAAAAATATATGTGTGGTACTTATTAACCCTTTCCATATGAGTACCGTATGTATACATACTAACCCTTTACGACTCGCGGCAAGACACTTCATAAAAAAGATACCGAAATCCAAACCTACTGCAAGACCTCCCGTTAGAAGGTGTGCAGTATGTTCTGCGATTAAAAAAAGAACTGAAACAACTTACCAGTGCGACATTTGTAACGTTGGATTGTATGTGACACCTTGCTTTGAGCTGTATCACACGAAAAAGACGTTCTGAATTTTTAAAGTATTCCTTAATATTTTCTTTCTTCAAACCATATAATTATCTTTAATTTTCTTTGTGAATCAACAAATTCATTTTTTTTATGAATAAAATGAGTATTTTGCATGCGTACAGGGAGTACTGCATAAAAAAAAACATCCTCGTATTGAAAGGGTTGAGGATTACTGTGAATCTATNGGCATACAGTGATTGTACTCTGAGTCACAAATATATTTAGTAGCTGTACAAGCTTTTCACAGAAGGCTGAGAAGAATAACGTCGCTCGCCCTGGACGCCCCAGAACATCAATAACCAATGAAAATGTTGTGAAAGTGACGAAAAATGTTATGGAGAAACGTCGAGACACTATTAGAGAAATTTCTGAGGATGTCAACATATCGGTTGGCTCATGCCATGCAATTTTTTCGGAAATTTTGGGCATGAAGCGTGTGGCACCAAAGTTCGTTACGAAATTGCTAAGTTTTGACCAAAAAAAAACCTTTGAATGAATATGGCCTAGGAATTGTTAAATGACCTCAACGGCGATCCAGATTTGCTTAAAAGGATCATAGCTGGTAACGAATCATGGAAATATGGTTATGACATCGACACCAAAGTCCAATCGAACTAATGGAAGAGCCTAGAAGGCAAAAAAGCACGCCAAGTTTCATCAAACAAGGTTTTGTTCAGGAGTTCTTGTCACATGATTGTACGGTCAATAAGGAGTATTATCTTGGAGTTATGCGCTGCTTGCGAGAAGCAATACGAAGATCCGGTATCGTGTAAAAACAATTCATGGTTTTTACATTACGATAATGCACCTGCCCAATCGTCATTGCTTGTTCGTAATTTTTTGGTAAAAAACAACAACAGTAATCATGCCTCAGCCACCGCATTATCCAGATTTGACCAACTGTGGCTTTTTCTTGTTCCTAAGATTGAACAAACCCATGAACGGACGGCGTTTTGCGACGATCGAGGAAATAAAAACGAATCATTGAGAGTGCATCTGATATGCACATTTTGGTATGTCTGCTTCAAGGATTGGATAAAACGCTGGCACGAGTGTAATATTATATCTGAGAGGGGCTACTTTGAAGGGGAAAAATATAAGTTGAATAAATTATTATTTTTTGAGAAAAATTAAAATTAACCTTATTTTTTAAACAGTATACTGTTCTTGGTAGAATCAATTGTGCTTAGTTCAGAATACATCATAATGACAAGTGTCCAAAAGTATTGCATTATATCAATTGGTATTGGTTCATGGATGAAACGCTTATGTTGCAACCGATGGTTTGCAACATAAGCAACACTGCAAAAATAGTGTTTGAGAAACATTTTCATTCTACCCCGAACAATATTAACTCTTACAGGTATACATATATACAAATGTATTAATTTTGTTGACGAAAACATGCTATCATTGGAAACTTTTGATAGAGATCACCCTCATAATGCTCATGATAAAATGAGTTCTATTCAATTAATGACATGGTTCACTTTTCTACAAAAAAATGGTCATTTTTCTGTTATTAGTATATATATAATGAAATACTTGATTCAATCAATAACTTGCCCCTTAGAAAGATGAAGAAGAAACGGAAAATCGTGTTTCTGTAGAAGAATATTTTGCTGAAAGACCGAGTTGTTTGCTGATTTTTATTTGTTGGCTTTTATTTTCATTTTTTCAAGATTTTTCATTTTACTGTATGTTTGTCTGTTATGTCTATCGATATGTAATGTTTTGTTGTAATCATTTGACAAGGGTTGTTGTACCAAAGAACTAATAAAAAATATCTAGCTATTTTAAGATTTCCATCAACATTTTTATATTCCCCTCCCAGAAAATATTCATTTACAAAGCAATATTACGTCTGATACCCCTATTTGGAAAAGTAAGCAAATAACATAATGTGTTCTACTAAAGCAGTTCAGACAAACACTAACTTCTTACTTTTGTTATATTATGNAAAATAATGAAATTCCAAAAACTACACCCAACGATTTGACCCCCACAAACTTTATTTGAAAATATATCACAACATGTTTCGCTAAGACATTAGCTTTTTCAAGTGATTTAATTTAATCACTAATCAAGTGGTTGTTTGGTTGGTTTTATGTCATTTCTTTGTAATTTCAGTTTTTTTGTTCAAATAAAATTGTTATTTTCGGTTAATCTTTTTAATATTGTTTTAGGAATTTCAAATCAATTTATATTATATTAGACAATGGAAGTCAGAACTGATGAAATAGATACAACATCGTTTCATGGTTGTGTTTTTTGAGAGCAGAGGTCGGTATCCTTCATTGAGCCATTGCTTTGCCTCGACGGTGTTCTTCCCAATGAAATGCTTTATCAGCATGCAAAATTCCGATTTTTCCACTGTTTACGAATAACCTAACCTAACTTTACTCAATCAATCAAACATTTATTGAATCAGTTTTCCTTCACAATCACATTACACAAGAAAAAAAACATAACATAATCATAAAATACTGGCTGACTCAACATGTCAAACAAACATAAAAAAAGATACAATCCAAATTAACAATCAAGGAGAAACTCATCCACAGAGTAGTATGCTTTTTGCAATAGAAAAATCTTGAGTCGCCTTTTAAAGATATTGATATTTGAGGATTCGATGTCCTCACTGAGTTTATTATATAGCTTGACCCCACAAAACATGGGGTGATTCTTTGATACTGTCAATCTACTATAAGGTTGATGTAGTTGAGTTATTTCTCGTGAAATGTTCATGGATTTGCTCATTTCTTGAAATAATTTTTTATGAATAAAATGAGTATTTTGCATGCGTACAGGGAGTACTGCATAAAAAAAAACATCCTCGTATTGAAAGGGTTGAGGATTACTGTGAATCTATTATAAATTTTATGTAAACACAACAAAACTTACATAAACACAACATTCTGAAGCCATGTACATGAAAAACAGAGCTTAGTATACAAAGCCTACTTACTTGCTGACTTACATTCTCGTCATCTATAACAGCAAACTGTGTGAGACTTTGGTCACGCATTCCAGACCTAGAACTCCTGGCAGCGGAGGGTTGCCTCCTTCTGGGCTTCTCTTGCTCTGGAGTAGCTGGAGAATCAACCAAACTACCCGTTTGTACAGGTTGCGCAGGAGTTACAACACGTAATCTACCAAGAGTAGCAACACCAGACTGGCTTTTTCGAAGTGGTGCTGGTTTCACATTTGCATCTGATGTCGACTTGGCAGAAGGCACTGCTTCATTATCCAACCTATCAGGAGGTTGATCCAGATGAGAAGTAGCTCGCCGTTTGCGTGCTGAAAATTCATTGTCAAAGTATTAATTCATTTATTGGCTTATTGGTTTAGGTTTCATTGATGAGATTTCATGCAAATACAAACTGATACCTATTCATTTTATCCAAAATGAATTCAGTACAACTTTCAAAATGAATATAAGGAACTTGGTTATTTCATGGCAATCATTTGCTAGATCTTACTGTGGAGAGTTTAGCAGTGGATGTGTCGAATCTTCATTTGAATATTTTATCTAAACTACAAATATAAATTGTCAAGGTAACTTGGTTTTTAGATTCCTCCCTTCATGAAGTATACAAAGTAAGTATGAAATTTGATGTGTAATAAATGTTACTACCAATATTTGACCTCAGCTTATGAATTTGGGAATTGAAAAATTAAAATATTCAATTCTTCAAGTACGTGTGTGACACCAGAAGTGAAAATATTATGGCAGGGAAAAAAATTTAACAAAATCCATATCCTACAGATACTTTCATTGAGGCGTGGGGCATGTTCCACCTGATCCAGAACTTACATCGGCCAGACCAACAGGAGAATCTCCAACAGAGCCTATAAACATTAGCTTGCTGTCCGTAAATTAGATCCAGCCTCATACCTTTTCAAACATCATCGTGAAACAGACCACATAATTATCTCCGTAAATACTGAATTAATTCCTTCCCCCCCCCCCCACCAAACACGCACCCACACACACACGCACGTGCGCTCCTACGCACACACGCGCGTGCCCACAAACACACACACACACACACACACTATAGGGAGTAACTTGTCATAATGTTGTTGATGGTAACATAGAACCATTTAGCAGTATTTTAAAAGAGTTTGAAACTTACTTAGAGAAGAAGCACCTCGTTGAAGTAAATAAAATAAAAGAGAAACTGAAAAGTTTCTTCGTATCGGACATTGAAAAATTTGGCAGGAACGAAAGCATAAAGTTAATTAAGATGATATTAAGGGACTATTATGCACTTCAAGTGACAGAAATATTTGTACAACAAAAAAAAGACCGGAATATTGAAGAAACCTCAAGGGACAAGTTCGTGTGTGGTTTTCTTTCAGAAAACATTGAAAAACTCCTGCCAGATTGAAGACTCACATTTCAAAGTGCCGGTAAAGAAGTATAAATGGCAATAATGGTAAGAGATATAACTTTCCTAATATGGTATTATAAATCACACAATTCCAAAACAAGTTTGTCTAGTGATCGTTTGTCCAGTGGTTCAAGCAAATCTGGTAGGCTATATCCGAAGGATTGAAAGAAAGAAAGAAATTTATTCATTCATGGACCAACTACATGGTATCGAACATGTCAACTTATACTTACAAATATGTAAACAAACAAACATGTAAATATACATTCAATACATATAAACATAGGACCGTAAAATACAGATATATATACATATATGTATAAATAAAAATGTAAAAACGTATAGACGTACAAGTGTAAAAATGTAAAATTAAAATATAAAAGAATAAGATTATGCACACACAGATATCCACGAAAAACTCAATCAGCGAAATACTCTTGTAATGTATAATAAGATTTAGCCAATAAGAAATCTTTCAGTAGTTTTTTTAATTCGATAGTATTACAGGCCTTCATTAGATTAGGGAGTTTATTATATATTTTTACCCCAGCATATGTTGGCGATTTTTCAAATGCGGATGTTCTGTGAGTCATTGTTATTAAATTTGAAGCATTTCTAGTGCAATATTGTTGGTGGTAATTATTTTTTATTAGCTCATTTTCATGCTTTTTAATGTGTAAGCAACTTTTATAAATATAAATGCAGCAAACTGTCATAATCTTTTTACTCTTAAAAATTTCCCTGCAAGAATCACATGGCTTCACGTTGAACATCATTCTAACAATTCGTTTTTGGGTAACAAATATCCTATTTATTTCTGCAGCATTTCCCCATAACGTGATGTGAAAAGATAGTGCAGAATATACTAATGCATAATAAACTTGGATATGTATATTCTCATGAAGTTCATACCACAATTGCAGAATTGCGAAGTATGATTTGGAGAGTTTTTTAGATAAACTTTCAATATGCTCAGACCATGAGAGTGATTTATCAATCATTACACCCAGAAACTTAGTGGAGTTATGTGTCTGTAGGACTTCACTATCGATCAAATTGTTCATATTGAAATATATAATTTTTGTTTTCTGTGCATTCAGCATCAGTTTATTGGAATGACAATATTTTGTCATTTCACTAATACAGAGTTCAACCGATAAAATCATATCCTCCATAGATGACTCAGCCATACCAAATGTTGTGTCATCAGCAAATATGATTAGATGAAAGCGCCTTTCGACATTAATTGGGAGGTCATTGAGAAATAGTAAGAAAAGCAATGGTCCCAGAATTGAACCGTGCGCTACTCCAACGTCAACTGAATATCTTTCTGACTCAACACTATCTATTTCTACAAAGAATTGTCTATTTGATAGGAATGAAATGATCCAGTCAAGAATATTTCATCTAATGCCAATATTATACAGTTTGGAAGCCATAAACACTTTAGGTGTCCAACAAGAAGTTGGAAATATGGTACTTGTTAAAAATTGGGCATGTCACAATCAAGTGTAGAAGCAGTAGATGAGGATGCACAAAATGATGCCACCATAAGTATGGTATCTTGTTACAAGGTAAACAATGACTTATACAATCTCAATCAGATATGTAGGAACAGTTAGTAATGTGCTGAAAGAGTACCTGTTCAGTTTGAAGTAGATAAAGGTAAAAATAAAACTGTTATACCACATGAAAAATTTATCGAATATTTAAATTTTTTTCTTGTATATGTCAGTTTCCATGCTGAACACCATTTCAGAACAGGTTATAAAGGCACTACTCGGTAGTAGTACTCGCCTTTGATGTCTGCCGCAGTAGCAGGCGAAACGTCAGATATAAAAACATGGGACAATTTGTTAGAATATTTAGGTTAGATGAATTATTATAACATATTTATACCATCCCTTGTACAACTTTTTAGGAATAGACACTATGAGAAGTCATTTGCTCTGAGTGAAAAATTATTCTAAAATTACCAAATTTTGACCCATCATGATCCCAATAAAACTACAGTAATCTGTTGTAATACAAGGTGTATGGGGTTGGGGTAGTTTTGAGTTACAGGAAAAGTGGTGCCGAGATATCCATTAGTTTTGCTTCAAGTTTATTACCGAATGATGAACAGAATTATTCTAACCAGGGTGTGAGGCACCAGCCATTATTTTTAGCTGAGAAAATTCTGAAAATTCATTCATGACAGAAACTTTAAGAACAATCTTTGATCCAAATAAAAATATTTCGGTAATGTCTACTTCAACAATAATGGGCTTGTTTCATACTATTGAAAAGGATACTGGTTTGCTTATAGACTGATCGAGTTAGGGGTATATTATACTTATCGCGCCTAATCGGTCCCACACCTCTTTATATTTGCAGCGTGTCTGTTGACCAATAAAATTGATCATGTCCACAGCGGTGTTGCTAAGTGTCAATTACTTCAACAAAAATTTGAAGTTATGAAACATTAGAAAGAGTAAATTGTCTCATACATTCAAGAGAGATAGCTGACTGGGTGGCAAATGGCTAATATATAACGTTGAATTTCTTATTTTTGGTGGGTGACATGAATGCATGATTAATTTATTTTATTAGGGTTCATGAGCTTACGAGAACCATTTAAAAATATAGCTTGTTATTTTATTTCATATGGAGAATTTTTTTCATGAATTTAAACGTTGACGGATTCATATATACTTCCATTATTAAAACTTCTGTGATATCAACATGAAAATGCTTTCTGCCAGTTATATTTCAAAAATAACGTTTCTATTGTGTTCTGTGTTATTTGGATCACATGTATAATTCATTCTCCCTTCCAATGCATTTCTTACACTTTCTTCTTAGATTTAGTTGTCGGAAGTGAGTGTGATTTTACTTTGAATCACGAATGAATTAGAAACTGTTTATAAGCTCCCTGTATTTCACAATTTGGCAATGTTCATTATTTGTATTGTTACAGTTGCTCAATCAAACAAGAAGCGGGAATAGGCCAGTGACGTCACGGGCCTAGAAAATCCGATTTTTAATAATCAATTACAGGAAAACAACGGTATTTACAGAGATGAAACAAAGTACATTATTTTTCAATTTGAACTGTAAACCAAAAATCATAAAACAAGCCCATTAGCTGGAATATTTCACTGTCGGCATATAATTATGAAACAGAATATAAAAAATATTCTGAATTATTTGGAGTTGATGTTCCATTCAGGATGCCTTCAATATATTCTAAAGAAGTAAGATATTTCAATGAATACGCAGATGAATTTCCTATTTTATATCAAAATATTATTTAGGTTTTCAACAGGGACCTAGTATTGACCGAAATTTTTTGATTTTGTTAAAACAGTCTGGTCGATAGATGTAGATAGTAGTTGATTTGTGTTTTTTAAAGGTAAAACGAATTGGACCTTAAGCAAACGACCCTGCAACATGTCTAAGGGAAAAGTGATTTCCATTAATTTGTCTTGAACAAATGTCTCGATGGACATAAAACCCAAAACTCAACAGGTCCCAAGATATGTCAATGCAGTAATGGCTCTACTAATAATTAACTTGGCCATTTGCTCCACATGAAATGAGTATATGAGTATGTGATATTTTTACACATTGAAACGTCCTGAACATCCTGGCCCCAAGGATCAAAACTCAACAGGTCAGTACCTGCTTGGCGTGAGTGATTTGTTCTACTTATTCAATCGACCGCTGTGTGAACCGGTGGTTATTTCCACTACCAACTCGTGCCAGGAATCGTACGTTAAAATGTGAGACCTCGTTCATCTTCAGCTCGAACAAGGTTCAACTTCTGAGAGTTGTCATTCGTGGGGAGAGGTGACAACTGATTAAAGGAAAAACTTATTTTTTCAATAGATCGGTCCTACTAATAATTGAATCGACTGGCTTTATTTATCTTTGGACACATTGTGTGTTGGGTCTTATGCTCATTGAGACATTTATTCAGAATGCCGAGACAAGTAGAATATAAAACATTCAGATAGATTGAAGGAAAACACTTTTTCCATAGGCATATTGCAGGGTAGTTTGCCATCAAGATCATAAAGCCATTTGATGTACACAAAAAAGAACGATTCAATGTGCTATTTTTTAAATTTTTTACTACTCTCTCTTAGTATGTAGAGGCGATGACATCTCCTCTTACGAAAACTTTCTCTATGTTCTTTAATCACAATCGTGGTTTAGCTTGGCACCACTGATGAGATATATAGCGGGTCAAATGAGTGTTGTGGTGTGTTTCTGGCTCTAGTTTCATCTTTTTTTTATATTTATAATTTTGGGAAATAATAATTTGCATGACTATATATGTAAATGCAAATATTATACTGGGGTTATTTCTCATTTGAAAAGAATCGTTGAAAAAATCTTACCTTGAACTTGATCCACTGCAGTTGCATTACAGTTTTTGTCCACAGTGGTGGCTCTAGCAGCATTTGTCTGAGTATCAGTTACTAAAGGTGCAGTATTTTCAGTTTCTATGCGTCTTCGAGAATCCAGTTGTGCCTAAAACACACAGAAATTTTACATCAGGTGTTTTTTGAATCATTCACTTGATCACAGATGTCTGTCAACATGGAAAGTTTTATCACTCTCTTCAATTAATTTGTTAGATCCCGTTTAGAACATGGCTGTCTTATCTTGTCACCTATATATGCTACATACATTCAATTGCTTGAATCTGTCCAATGACAGTTTATGAAATATATCATCTACAAACTAGATGATGTCTACCCCAAACCAGGAATAGATAATAATAAATTGTTGCAGCGTGTTCATTTTCTATCTCTTGAAACAGATAAGAACTCATTATTCTTGCGTATTCATATACAAATTGGTCAACAATCTTGTCAACTTACCAAAACTTTTTTTTTATTGAAATTATAACAAGAGCGTACAGTTCAACATAGTTAAGACATTATAAATATAAAATATGTTGTTATTCTCCCTAATCAGCAAAAATGTTGGTCTCGCGATTCACAAACATTCAACATGACAAGTGAGACATAAAAACTAGTAAACCACTACTAAGCTCATAGTATCAAAGTATCAGACATGTGCCTCGAGGCTCAGATGTTTTTTTAAACTATTGATGAATGAACTATAGCCCGGCAACTCACCTATATGGACAGGTAATTCATTGAAGACTTTTATAGCCTGTATGAAAGGATTGTATAACCCTTTGTTCGTTCTTACCATGCTCAAGTGTAAATCATTTCTACCCCTTGTATTATACACATAAAACTGGTTGTTGACTAGTAGATCGTTGTTGCTTTTGATTCTTTTGTTTTTTATTTTATATATGTTCTTGCATTGCTCAAGTTTAAGTAGATATTTAATTGAGTGTAGTTCAGTCTGTGAGAATAAATCATTTGTGTGGGTTCGAAATAGAATTTGAAATAAAATTTTTATTGATTTATTTTGTAGCGTTTGAATTTTTTTAAAATTAGTAACTGTGTGTTATTATTAATGCCACAATTACCCTATATGATTAACAGATACCTAAGATTCGCCAATATATATGCATTGTAAACCAATTATCTATTACTGAAACTCAATTAACTGGAACACCTATTTAGAGCTCCTACCATTGGTACAATTTAATCATTAATATGTTCTATTATCCTGACCAGTTTAACTACATGAGTATTGCATTGAAAAAGATATAGAAATTTGTGGTTTGAAATGGATCAGGAAAACACAAATATTCATAATTATTTCTTGTTATAGGTCACCAAAAGGCCACTTTGATACATTTTTTGAAAACCTCACAATGATTATGGAAGCTGTATGTGAGAACAGGAGTTGCGTATTTTTGTGTGGTGACTTCAATATAAATTCTATGACGACACATCAGTCCCTAAAAATTTACTCATCTTTTAGAATCATATGGGTTACTCCCAACCAATCACACTCCCACACGTGTCACTTCCACCTGTGAAAGTATACTAGATCAAATATATACAAATATTGAATACTGTGAGGGTAAGGTTGAAATTAATACTAAATCAGACCATGGTAATTTTCTACTTGCAGTACCTTCAGATAATGAACCTTCTGTTAATACAACAATTTATGCTAGGGAAACGAGTGAGGTAAATATTAATAATTTTATAACCTTATGAAGGAAGGAAAACTGCGAAGAGGTTTACTTGGTAAACAATATTGATTCAAAATGTAACGCCTTTCTTGACATATTAATTTACAACTTTGAAGCAATTACATTACCTAAGAAAACAATTTCCAACACTTGATCTTGAGTATAAATTTGCCAAAAACAACATAAAAACCTCTTGTTAAGTACGAAAAGTCAATTTTACATCAATAAAATTCAAAATTCATCAAACAAAAGTAAGTCTACTTGGCAGATTATAAATGAGCTTAATGGAAAAAAATCCAAAAACACGTCGCAATAAAATTACATAATGAAATTATTGAAGAAACATCAATTTTATCAAATATATTTAATGATTATTTTGTAAACATACCAAAGGAAACAATACGAAATATACAACACCTAAATCATCGAATTGAATATCCACAAAATAATTTTCAAACAGAGAGTATGTTTGTTCAATATGTTTCTGAGATAGATGTTCTCAATGTTATAAAATATAAAATTAAAAATAAGCCCTCCTGTGATTATGATGGAATTTCAGCTGTAATATTAAAAAAATTGCAGAATATTTGGTTAAACCTCTAACTCACGTGATTAAAAGTCTCTTGAGGACGGGATATTCCCAACAAAATTGAAAACTTCATTAGTGTCTCCTATTTTAAAGAAAGGTAATCCATCTGATATATCTAATTATAAACCAATCACTATTCCATCAGTAATATCAAAAGTAATTGAATATGTGGTTCTAAATCAACTGGTATTGTTTTTAGAGAGGAACAAAGTTATTATGGATAATCATCATGGTTTTCGTAGCCAATACTCTACTACAACAGCAATTATCTCCTTCTATGAGAAAGTATTAATAGCTACTGAGAAGGGTGAAAATCCAACAGGAATATTTTGTGATTTAAGTCGAGCTTTCGATTGTGTTCAACACGAAACTCTGCTTGATAAGTTATATAAATTTGGTATAAGAGGTAAAATTCATGACTGGTTTAGCTCGTATCTGAAAGGACGGAAACAAATTGTAAAAATATCTCATTGTTATAAAACATCTTGGTCATCTCCTCAAAGGAATGACATTGGGGTATCTCAAGGCTCCATTCTGGGACCAATACTATTCGTCTTATATATTAATGAGCTACCTCTGATCTTAACTGATGCATTCACTACATTGTATGCAGATGACTCAACGTTACTTTTTACAGGAGAAAACTCTGAAATTCTGAAAACAAAAATTAACACCACAATGCACAACTTTTCAGTCTGGTCTTCTGATATGTCTCTTCTTTTTAATACAAACAAAACAAATTGTGTAACTTTTCATACTCATCAAAACAAAAACGTACCGCCATTAAATATCAACATTAATAACACATGCATTTATAGTACTGAAAGTGTTAAATTTCTTGGAATTTTTTTGGACGAAGACTTATCATTTCGAATTCACTATCTACAGCTTTCTAAGACACTGAACTCAAAATGTTACCAAATCAGAAATCTTAGATATACATTGAATTTGAATCATCTCCGTTCATTCTGTTTTGCAGAAGTTCAACCAAGAATTAACTATGGTATTGCAGTCTGGGGTGGATCAGCATATAGAAAAAAATGTTTTTCTGGCTCAAAAGCGCATTATTAGATGTATTGCTAGAGTCTCATTTGACCATAGTTTCGTGACCTTTTCAAAAACATGAGGATTTTAACAGTTAGTGGTATTTTCATTTTAGAACTTTTGAAGAATATACACAAAGCTCGTGACGACCATATGCGTGTAGATGAACTACACAATTATGATACTGGACAGAAAGGCAAATATTGCGTTCCCTTCAGACGGTTAAATATTAGCTTAAATTCACCTACTGTACCTGGCTCAAGACTCTATAATCGACTTCCACAAATATATAGATCCTTTTCAAACCGGAAAATTCTTATTGAAGTGAAAAAGATACTGATCTATGTCCCTACTCCCTAGAAGATTATTATGAATTAGTTTTTTTAAAGAACAACCTGTAAACATGTATTATTTCACTATCCTATGTTAATTGTATTTTGTCTGCAATCCTTGTTATGCATGTACATAATTTATTTTATTTTATCATTACACTCACTGTACTTTGTTGTATGTCTATATGTTTTTTGACTTGTCCTATAGCTGTATTTGCTCGAATGGATAAATGAAGAATTGAATTGACACGTTTTCTTCCAGATATCGATTATCCGACGTACAATTTGCAAAACAGCAATGCTTTGTTGGCATTATACTAGCATAAAATGACTTTTTATATCAGATTTATATTTTTAAATAATAAATTAATATTACATAAATAACACTGTTTTACAAGTGAATAGTTTTTGTTTGTCCCTGCTACTAGTGCTGCCTCTCGTGACACGTTCGCTGTACTATTCTCAGGAAAAAGGCTCATTGAACAATGTTTTTACCTACCAACACGGAAAACCAATATGTTATTCAAATCTCACTTATTTGCAATGTGCTATAAATGTAATCAACTGTGTTAGAAAGTAGACATTTATTCAACACCATTCGGAAGACAGTGTGTGTCGCCTGTTTGGAAAATGATGAAACAGCAGAGCACATTCTTTGTGCCTGCCTCACTGCGGACCGAATCAGATTTTCAGAGTTTGGCAGAGCCGCACTCTTACCATCTGACCTCAAAGATCACTCACCATATAAACTAATCGGCTTGGTTAAGAAGCTGGGTTTATTTGATCGAGTGTGAATTGGTGTAAGCCACAATAAACCCTTGTGGGTTGCGGTGGAAGGTCGAAAAGACCCACTCCCTTTTGACGTAACCTAGTCACATTCATGTTATTGATATATTTTATGAAAAATCCAACATCGTGAAACATGACGGGAAAAATAAAATAAACAGAAATGTCTTTACAGTTCAATGTGCTGACCTCTTTGTTGTCGGTTGGTTTGATGTTCTCTTGGTTATTATCCGTTGTAAGAGTATTTTTTGTATGTCTCGGAAGAGTCGTTGGTGCAGTTGGCTGTTGTACCGTTACTGGTTGGGTAACAGGCTGGTTATCAGTCTGGACCGGTTTTTCCCAGTCGTAAGGATCCGAGTCCTTAACTCCTCTTCGCTTCATGCACCTCTCAAACAGAGATATGAGCATCTGAAAAAAATTTCATTAATCAACAACTTCTATGAAAATCACGGCACAACTTTTGTCATTTGCAGATAAAATAACAAGTGAAAAAAGTTAAGAGGCATTTCTGTTGAACTCACCTGATAATCTGGTTTATCGGCATACTCTAAACTCTGTATGTGATCAAGAAATTGTTTAAGATCGGACGGCAAGTGTTTCAATAATAATCTATGATCGTACTTTTCTTTCATCAATCCCACTTGTTCCTTGTCTTTTACCTTTCGCCAGGGCAACTGGCCATTCACAAATTCTACTAACATATAAAATAAACTCCAGAGATCATCGTGCCTACCCATTTCTGAAATGAAAAATTTTGAAGTGTACATGGTAATTATTTCATTTTGAGATATTTTCAATGAGATTTTTCGGATGGATCAAAAGTTTGGGGAAACCCATTTCTTATTATTCTACTCATTTATTGAATGATACACAAAAAAAAACTAATAACACATTGGAGACATTTCTGAACCATGGAAGTAATATCATAAAAGCAATGATATTTGATTTTTAATTTTTTTGCATTTTTATAAGATTTCCTTTCATATCAATGATTCAGAAGAGCCAAAAAAAGGGATTTTTGAGTTTTTCATTAGTAAGAATTATTATACACATACGAGGTTGGTCCAAAAAGTACCCGGCCCAAGAAATAAAACACAAACATTTTGAAGAAAAATATACAGAGATCCAACGTCTAAAGCTTCAATTAATAAGGTTAACAAGAACATTCAAAATTTGATTCAAGAATACAGAGTTACTTTCCGAAAAAGCTTACGTATTTGCTAAAAACTTCAAAACAAGCTACAAAGAAAGCGTCAACTTGAACTTCGACTGCAATCATTATGAAAATGTGAGGGATTGGTACGAAAACTTCTTTTTCCAGATACCCGTACAAGAAAATGATACATTCAATATAGATGAAGAATATTTTGAAATCATATATCAGGGAAAAACCTCAAATCCAGTGCATGACTAATTCACAAGAAACATGTTGAGAAAGCTGGATTATGAGATTCACAAGTATATTACCATAAATATCGATGAATTTTGCCTTGAAACTCATTATATACCTGACAATTGGAAAATGGGCACAATAATTACAATTCCCAAACTAAACTTACAGATCTTCCGATTACTCTCCTACCTGTAAACTTTTACAAAACTGTTTACTCCAACTGCTTGATAATAAAATTCCAAGCTACCAGTTTGGATTTAGACAAGGAAGATCTACTATACATCCTCTCACGATTCTCACGAACAACATTGAAACAACCAAGCTGAACAACAACAAAACGGCAGCAATTTTTCTGGATATGAACAAAGCATTCGATAGCATCTGGAACAAGGGTCTTTTATTCAAACTGCATCAACTGGTTTGTCCTAACTATCTAGTACATACAATTAAGAATCTGCTAATTGACAGGAAACTGAGAGTTAGAATACTGAGTAGTTTTTCAGACGAATTTATCCCAGAACAGGGAGTTCCACAGGGTTCACCGCTCTCACCATTGTTATATAACTTATAGAGCTCTGATATTTATCATCACCAACGATGGAATATCAACCACTTCAGGCATGACGCATATATTCTCCAGTATGCAGATGACACCGCCCTAATTGCGCACGATCAAAAGCTAGACATAGTTATTAACATTTGGAACATCTTGTAACAATAACAAATAACTGGTTCAATGAATGCAGGCTCCAGCCAAACCCATCTAAGTCTCAGACCATCATATTTAATCATCGGAATTCCGCAACTTCTCCAACAATCAACGTTTTCCAACATATATTACATTCAAAATGGACAGTTAATTACTTAGGTGTTACGCTTGATTCCAGACTAAATTTCAACAGTCACGTCAACAACAAAAAAAAGAAATTGATTGCAAGAGCCGCACATTTCACAAGTTTGACAAACCCGGGAGCAGGTGCAAACATATCAACAGCAAGCCAAATATATAAACTAATCTGTCGTCCACTTATTGAATACTCGCACCCACTGTTTCTCAATATCAAACAAAGGGTCTTGAAAACAATTAAAGTATCTGAAACAACGGCTATAAGGAAAATAACAAGATTAAGGCATCCCAATAACCCAAACACAACCCTTCAAACCCTCTGCTGTACCGACTCACTGGTATTATCCCTATCGAGGAAAGACTACCGTCACTTACTCAGAAGTTTGCTAGAAAAGACGACAATGTAGAAATCATTAGAAAATATGATGTGACAAGAAACCTCCATGCAACACCCAACCCATCGACACCCAACAGAAACACTGTTAGAAAAATTAACACAACTTAATCAATGAAATTGTTTTGTTTGTTCATTTTTATATCCATATTTTTTTTTTGATATTGTTAAATAAGCTAGGTTATTTCAAAGCAATTTTGTTACACGGGCGGAAGGACTTAGGTCGATAGCCAGTTGAGCAAAGCTGTAATTTTGTTCAATAAATTACAATTATCATTATTATTATATTCATTTTTCAATATAGTCTCCTTGCAGCTCTATACATTTTTCCAAAGACGTTCAATAATTTCGATACTGTTTTTATGCTAATAACTGTCTTCCTTCTCAAAATAGCCATCAACTACCAAAATCACTTCTTCATAGTTGGAAAATCTTTGACCACTGAGCCGTTTTTTCAAGTTTGGGAAATGAAAATAATCCTAAGGAGCTAAATCTGGCGAATAGGGTGCATGAAGTAGCAACTCGAACTTTAGTTCGTTAATTTGGTCATTGCAATAATAGATTTGTGAGCTGGTGCGTTGTCTTGATGAAACAACACTTCATTCTTAGCCAAATGCAGCCTTTTGACTTGATTTCTTCACTCAAACGTTGCAATAAGTTCGTATAATCCTCGTCTTTGATAGTTTTACCTTTTTCAAGATAGTCAATAAAAATTATCCCATACGCATCCCAAAAAACCTATGCCATGACCTTGCCTGCAGATGAACAGTCTTCACTTTCTTTGGAGCCGGTTCTTCCTTTTGAGTTCACTGTTTTGATTGTTATCGTGTCTCGGTTGTATAGTGAACCATGTTTCTTCCATAATTATGAAACGACAAAAGAATTCTGCTTTGTTGCTGTGAATCTTCGCTAAACAATCAATTGACTGTCTTTTTCATGTCCAAATTGTTAGATAAAATACGATGTACCGCACCTTTTGAAATGTCTATTAAGTCTGCTAGCTTGCGCATTTTGAATCGACGATCATTCGGTATCGCTTTGTGGAGTTTTTTCACCGTTTCTGGAGTCGTCACCTCATTTAGTCGACCACTGCAATGTACATCTTGGTAGCACGTACGGCCTCGTTTAAACTCTGCTACACAATATTTTTTTTGTTGTAAACGAAGGAGTAGACTCACCCAGAGTAGAATCCAGTTCAGCTTTTATATTGTTTGGGCTGAGGCCTTTCAAATAAAATTATTGTACCACATATCGTTGACCAATTTTCTCCCATCTTCACAAATTCACCGAAAACGTTCGCTATTGATGGTTGCCTAACAAATACTTAACATGGCAGCTCTTTCAAACTTGAAACGAATGCTTTATAGATTGTGTACATTCTAATACAGTGATATTTTTCAAACAACTACCGCCATCTTTAGGTCAGGCGGGGTACTTGTGGGACTACCCTGGTACATTGGGGGAACTAATCATACACAGACATCAATTAAATATGCGATAACACACGTACTTTTATGCAGTGTCAATCACATTGAGCTTCCATTTGAAGTTTGACATGAGGGGGTGGAGTTATGAAAAATTATTTTTCCTATAAAAGTTTTCGTTATCAATGTATTGGTCTATTTTGAAATATTCTACAATATACAGAGAACCCAATAGAAGTATGGTGTATCAAAGTCTTTCAAAATGAGATGAAATATTATTTTGGAATGCAAGGTATATATTAGGTTGTTTCAAAAGTTTTGTCTGTTTAAATGTCATGTATTAATGTAGCTCCATATCTCAATAGATATTTATTTCACTGTGTTGTGGTATATAATGATTGGGAGATCTGTTTCACAAAATCTGTTTAAAATCTGTTTTTCCGTTAATCCGTTGGTTGATAATTGTGTACTCTATACATACATCCTGTTAATTTTTTTTTTCAAATTTCATACTTTATGCTTTTTTTCATGATGTCATTAGGCAAATTCCAGCCAATTTTTCTCTACGAATTCAAATTGACACAAAGCGCTGCTGAAAAAGCCTGACAAATCAATCAGGCATTTTGCAATGATGGTGTTGATGAACGCACTTTTCAACGTTGATTGCGGAATTTCGTTCAGGTGATTTTGTGAGGAAATCGACAAAATGTACGGAAAATTGAGTCAGCAGTAGCCAGCACTGGTCAATAGAAAAGGTTCAATCCATTACATTGGCAAAAGTGCACTGATTCAGATGGAGCTTATTTCGATTAAATTAAATAAGTATATATTCACTGAGATATTACAGTTCAAAGTAGACTCATACAAACGGGCAAAACTTTTGAAAAAACCTAATGATTTCATTTTTAAAAACCCAACTCTGATGGAAGTTCGATGTTTCATACACTGCTTAGCATCCTTCCCTTCTACAAGTAAAAAATTAAAACAAGAGAGAGGGAACTCTTGTTTGGGTGATAGCTGGTACTTGGAACATCAAACCAAGATAGCGATACAAATGTGAGTTGGAGTCCAAATTTGGCAATTGATGACGTATCAGAATCCTTTGACAGTTTTGCTTTCATTTCTATTGTTTCTATAATTTGGAATCTGTCATACTACACAAATAGTTGTTTTCATAACTATAATAATAATCTGTGGGCATTAATATTTCATAGGATGCAAATTTTATTTTGTAATAATTTAATTTTCTGCGTACTGAATGTTGAAATTACCAAATTTCGGAGTTATGGAATATGGAATACAAAATATAACGTACTCACAGAATAATAAACAAAGTTTCAACGAATTTTATGGGATTGACCCAAAATCAAATTTGAGTGAATTTCAATTATTCATCAAAAAGGTAGGTTGTTCAAAGCAATAGCTACGTTATTTGCAATGCAATGTAAATATTTATTGACTACTATATTCTTTATATATTGAATATACACTAACCTCTATTTTTGTGTGCATTGATACTGGCATATCTTACGGTCCCACGAAAACCAGCTGCTGCTCTAGGAGCTCGAACTTCCCCAGTAGCAGTGGTGTACTGTCTAGCAAGACCAAAATCTAACATATATACTTTTCTACAATTATACGGCAGTCTACCCATTGAAAAATTACTCTGAAAGAAAGACAAATTGACATTGTGAGTTTGTAATTCAAATTCTGAAACACCTCACACAAAAGAAAGCAAATTGACAATAATAAATCTAAAGAAATGAACTTTAAACGTTCAAGCCAGTCTCGGATATACCTAGACAGTAGGTTGAATGGACTGACGCCTATCAGAAAACAACTACTCCCCTGGCTAATACCACGAAGGGCGTTGGATTATATCCGACAGGCGTCAGTGCAGAAATCTTCACAAAAAATTTCCTGCATATGCAATTGGCAATACAACTGAAAGGGTCGACCTTCAATTTTGGAATGGGCACATTTGCAGGTCGACCCTTTCAGTTGTTTTGCCAACTGCATATGCAGTATGCAGGAAATGTTCTGTGTTTTTACATCCATTTGTATTCTTTCAAACCCTTACAAAATGATGATTTTGTTGACTTAGTAAGATTGTATTTTGTAAGTGAAGTTGTTGTCCTGTATTTCCTCTTGATTGATGATTATGAATTTGAGATTTAAAGACAATAAAATCATTGAAGTATTGTGGCATCAACTCATTCAAGACTTTATGAAATGAAAATTATAGATGTCAAGTATAATCTCTATGATAAAGATAACCAGTTTAATAAGTCCAACATGAAAATAATATTTGCATATCGGTTACACCTTGAGAATATACGCATTCCTCGCTTCTGCAATTTCTGTAGACTTGAAAGTTTGTTAGCATCAAAGGAATATAATATACTTTCGCAGAAATCAAAGTGATGTTGAATAATTGTATTATAAACCACTAACCTAGATTATAAATATATCTCTTTCGAAATTGATTTGTTAATATAATTGAAATGAGCATTGAAAAAAAGAATGTTATCTAGAATGAAATCCAAATACCATCTTCAAACAAACGCCAAATACCTAATGTCATTTACAAATGTAATTTTTTCACCATTTATAGAAAGTATGTAATGGTCCATATTAACATGTTTTATCCTGTGTGGTATAGATAATAACATTGCTTTAGTATTATTTATATTAAGTTCAAGTTTATTGATATTTAGATAGGAATGAATTGTTGCTAGTGAGTTGTTCATTTTGTTGATAGCGTTATCCAAATTTCTACTTGAAATAGATAGCATTGTATCATCAGCAAAGAGGTTACTAAAGTCACAGGAATTGAACAGATGTATGTTGTTTACATACAAGAACAATAATAATCCCAAGATACTACCTTGTGGAACGCCAAATGAATTTTCAACAGGTTGAGAAAAACTGGTTGATTTTAGTTATTTGTTTACTATTTCTGGGATAATTTTTGAAACACTCAAGTACAGTTCCCTGAACACAAGCAACTTCTAGCTATCTACACATGATTTGTAAACTGATGAATGTTTCGAGTAAATCAGAACGAATCAATGCAAGAATTCTCAAAGTATCAGTCCAAAAAAAAAAAGTGAAAAATGCAAAATTACTCATGTGAAGATCGAAAATATTTTTTTCCAAAGACTGTCTAAGCTGAAGAATATTTTCAATTATAAAAGGAGGAATTTCATCGAATTAAACAGATATATCCAAATAAATTACATGAGAGGCTACGTACTTAACAAAAAAATCATGTTTTTGAATTTTGGATGTGAATTTCATAGTTTTCCAATATTCTAAGCAGGTTTGTTGTAATAATAATATCCAATTGAAGAATTACATTACTGACAGCAGTATTGCTTTCAATTGAACCACGTAAATATTCTTTGGAAAAACTTCAATAAAAAACTTACTGAACCTAATAAATACTCACAGGTTTAATATCACGATGTAAAAAACCAACAGAATGTATACTTTCGATGGCTCTAAGTATTTGTAAGCCTAAACGCAAAGTTGTCGATAAGCTGAAGGCAGCTCTTGGTTGGGCTCTCCTGAGTTCAGCCAAGTTACGGCCTTGTAATTGCATCACTACATAGTTAAATCTGTCATTCCTACCACAGCCAATGAATCTGTAGAAAAAATATGATTTGTTGAATATTTTCACTACAAAATATTCATATATAATATATTCGAAGTATCAGAGAATATGTTAATTTGATTGGGATCAAAAGTCAAATTTATTTCAAAAAAAAATATGTCCACTATTTGAAATTGCAGCAAATTCAAATATCTTAAAGTAATTTAAACATCCTAATCTGAAATAATATACTACCAAAACTAATACTTCACGAGTTTTTGATTGTTAATATCTATAATCATCTTGGAATGATGACTGACTTGTTCCAATAATGCGAATCATTTTTATGCTCATTGTAGGAGCGGAGGTTTTCCAATTCAGTATTAAAACATACCCGTTCAATAACAACATTATCTAAGTTCAGTTCTTTATTATTTTTTTCATTCAAGTACAGTGGTCTCTCTCTCTCTTGCAAGTACAAAATTATGGGATAAACATAGACTAATGACTGATTCATTAACAAACTCTTCTTTTTTACTTTATCACTTCATTTTACTTTAGGAAAGTTGTCATGATGTAAATCAACGGGTCCATTCATATACGAAACTTTTACTTTCTCCTTTACTTTAATGAAAGTGTTATGGCAAGTTATTTTTCTCTGGGGATTCCTTAAAGTACAAGAATGTTCATGTGTTAACTATGTAATCAATAATTTCATAAACTACACTTTACGATCTGGTCTTCTAAGGTACATCGTCAAATTATAATTACCTAAACCTAAAGCATATATCAATTCTACATCAATAATACAATGTCGGTTTCTAAGAAAAAAAGTACAGGAATGGTGATATATTCGAATCCAATTTGTCATTCTGTGAAATTTTTGAATTTTTATGTTTATTGATTTCCATTGCTTCCAAATAATCAGGTTTCAAACCTTTATTTTCAATGTATGAAATTTAAAAATCTCTGTTAAAGATATGATTTTCTTCTAAAAGATTATTTGAATATGTTGAACTTGTTTTCTCATTTAAATATCTCATGATGTTCCTGGATGCGATTCTTAAATGTTCTGCCAGTTTAACCAATATATAGCTTAGGACAAGTTTCACAATTTAATTTATATACTCCTGATTTCTCAAATTTGGACGTTTTGTCTTTATTATTTTTAACTAACCTTCCCAAACCATTTTTTCTTCAACAATGGTGTTTGAATGACCCAACAAATAACAGTTTAGTGTATGAATCACCCATAATTCTCGATATAATCAAAATCATGTTAAAATGCAGTTCAGTTGTTTGTCATGTGCAATTTGCAATACATACTCATTTTAATTTCCAAGAACATGAAACAAACAAGGTTAAAAGTAATTACATATATCGCTGTTCTGATTACAATATCACTGCTTAAACAAGTGATTTGATGAATTTACGAATAAAATACAGACAGGAAAAATTGGGTCATCTAATCTTCAACTTTTTTTTTGACCCTGGATCAATATGTCTATCAAGATAAATTATTATCATTTTATCATTTGTTTAGTAGCCTGCATGATGGTTTATAGTGCAGATAGTTATCTATGAAAAATGGAAGATTGTAAATGGTTTAAGATAGTTACTACTATCCAACTCAATTAAAGTGACCTCTTGTAGAAACGTCAAAAAATCTAGATAACCATAAATAAACCAAATAGTATTTGAGATGAGTTGCGAAACAGAAATATGAAATATTTTGAATATTCCAGTAATTATATTCCAGTAAGAAATATGTTTCAAAAAAATCATATGAATCGAGCAGTCATCGAAGAATTAGACCCAATATTCATGTTTACTTGAAAACTCGAGTTTAGATAACAAGAATTATAAAAATTGATTTTATGAGGGAACAGACAAGTTCGTCGAAAATATCAAAAATCAAATATTTCTAGGAATAATGTTGAATCACTTATCACTATACAGTGTTAACCAAAAGGAGGTGTCAATTTCTTTTCAGTAGGCCTCTGGACCTATCAGAATTACCCCATTGATGTTATGCATTTTTTTGTGGTTCAGTTACAAAATATACAAGTTTCTGTGACAATTTTCAGCCCCATCGGTTTAAATATTCGTAAATTTTTTTCTCACGAGGAGTTTTCTTTAATACTTTTTTCGTTATTGAGTTGTTCTGTCATGCATAAAATGATAGGCTCTCTAAATTTTTCATTGAAATTAATGAATTCACATTCTAACAAGATCAATTTAAATTTTCAATGACGGATTGGAAATAATCCAGGAGTATTTACAGTTTCTAGGTTATTCTTAAACCTTTGCAAAATCGTCCACTTTCACAATAACACAAAAACGGTGGTATATGACAGGCTATCATTTGCTGAAATCAGCATTCAAAGGTACGAATGTAGTAATTTTTTAGGATAGTCATTTCATCGTAAAATATTACGATATTCCACATAATTTAAAAGAAAAAATAATCACCATAAACACTTGAAGAGTCTGCAAAGTTCAAAGTTATTTATATTTTAAAATACTCAATTTTCTATCATTTTTCAAATAATCTAAATAATCTATGTATAGCTTTCGTCCTCAATGATTTTTTAGTTCAAATATAAGAATACATGATTAATAATTACGAAGAAGGAGAATGTGAAGTTCAGAAGACTCTTTACAAACAAAACACTTTACAAAATAGAGGGATGTTTCACCAACACACCAACTGAAATGTTACATAGGTACTTACTAACCTACAAATGTGTTCCTTTCCTTGGAGCTTTTTCAGTACAGCTACTTCCATTTTCAAAACTTGTTTGGGTTGTCTTGCCGATTCCACCTTGAGTGCGACCTGCTCCCGAGTAATTAAATCTAAGCCTTCGTAAATCTCCCCAAATCCTCCCCCTCCTATTTTTTTCACCACCTGAAACAAAAGAATGTGAGATTTGTTGTAAAAGTAGTTGTAAACACTGACAAAACTATAGTGATTAATGGTTATTGAAAATCAATCATTTATATGTCCATCGATAGGCCAAACACTCATCATCCAGATTATTTCTAGAGACTATTGTGGAAACTAAGAATATTTTTATTCCTTTACCTTCCATCGTTCTTTAACTACATGCCCAGGTTGTAGAAGATCTTCAGATGTCATGGTAATGTTGTTGTTTTGATCAGTGGAATCTAAAGGGCCTTCCCAGCTTAACTTTTTTGGCCTGAATAACAAACAATCAAAATTAGTGAGAATGTCTTTTCCATCATTTTGATTTACAATCTGATGTCCCACTATAATTATACTCCTTCGAAATCTACATATATCAATTATTTATTTATTACGGTTTCACACTTCACAGAGTCTGGGACCAACAATTCAACCTTGTAAAGAAAATTGCCTAAAATCAGGCAAAACCGCACCAAAACCAGCTGATTTTTATGTACGCATGCGCCGTTATTTAAAGAACTTGAATGGCCTACTACTTTCATGTGAAACGCCCGAAGATTATTGATTTTCAAAATTAAATTTTACAATTTCAAGATGATATTAATAAAGAAAACCATTACTGGGAGGAATACCAAGATAACTCGCCTTATTCATTTAATAACTTTTCACTAGTAAGAAGTTATTAAATAACCATGTGAATACATACTTTGAAAAAATTAAACAAGTAGATATTTTGGAAACAACATAAATACTTTCTGTTGTGGTTAACTCTTATTGCCTTTAACTGTGTGACCTCAAATATGGTTAGTAATTGAAATATTGAAAATAGATTAGATGAAAAAGGCATTAATATCCCAAGATTCAGAAATGTTTGCAAAATATCTACAGAGCATAAATAACCTTAAGTATTAATCATATACGTTCAATGGGACTTTGAGTCTTGGACATATGAATCCATTTATTAAGAATATAAACCAAAATCATTGCGAAACATGCAAAGATTATTTTTAAACAGGTGATTGACATTTTCATGGGACAGTGTGCAAAAATTCAAATGATTCAAGCAATACAATTTAAAGATTGAAATAAAAAATAACAAATAAGCATGCATACTTGTTAAAAAAATTGCTTTGAAGCAATATTGCTTCATAATAAGCTTATTATTTTGCATTTCTTACAGTTAATTGTGCTGATAATCAATATGCACGCCATTTTCTTCACTGACATGAAGTTAGCTCCGAGTCTGAGCCGCAGTTCCCGCTTCTATTTGAAATTGGCGAAGCTTCATATCACTGCAAACTTTTTCTGCTCTACGGATGAAATTATTTGTATTTTTTGGGATATATGCGTTAGTGACAACTGGTAACTGAAATTTTGTGTGCTGCTTGACCTGTCATTTTGATGTACACAGTCAATTTCAAATTTAGGTTTTGAATAGGTATGCACATGCACTTTGTTCGAAACAGGAAAACCCATGACTCATCCCAGTTGAGAATATTGTGCCTAAAATTGAAGGTGAATATGCTGATGGTTATACAAATTTGATAAAACTATTTCATTATATTCGTTATAGCTCAAAATTTTTTTCAGAAAACGTCTCTGGAATCTTCGAAACTATTGCGTTGTTGCCGTATTTAGTCACTTGTCACAATTCGAAGTCATTTATTTAACAATAAATACTAGGTGGCTGCCAATGACACATACTTGACAATGGTCCGTTCATTTTTCGCTTTATAAATGCGTATCAACCAAGATGGATATAAATATGTAATCTTTTGGACCTTCGACCCTTTCCTATGTAAATCTTTATCACTCACAGCGGCGGCTCTTCAGAGGAGGCAAGGGAGGCTTAGCCTCCCCATAAAATTTGAGACTATTCATCGCAATAAATTGAAATATATTGACAAATAATTATCATTATTTTTTCTAAAAATACTTGAGGGTATCATTACTTTACCATTAATTTTTTAATATAAATACATAATATGCCCGAAAAAACACTATTCTCAATACGTAGTACGTACCACACTGTATCCTGCATCAATACAACTCAAACGCACCGCTCATGAACGAATAACGAATAAACTATCAACCCGAAAAAATAAATGCCATACGTTGCAAGGGAGCCAAGCCTCCGACCGCTTTGAAAAATACAGGATCCACGAGACTGAGCCAACCAGCGACATACGTCCCGATTTGTAATTTCAGTTGCAGAAATTATAGCGTCAGAGGAGGCTTGCCTCCAGTTGGACTCCGTTAGTGTACGAATGCGTTTGCTTTTTATTTAGTTATTCGGACGGGATACCGTGACGGATCGGGACTAAAAAATATTCCGGTAAATCGTTTTAGTGTTTCTTGATAATATTTGTTATTTGTGTATAAAACAGGCAGTATTATATTATAGCAGTGCTTTTTGGTGATATTTTTAATGTATTTTTTTTAAAGTGTTTTCCTTCAATTTCAAGATGTTTTCAGGTTTTCACTTTTTGGTAAGTTTTTTTTTTCATTTATTATGGATAAGTTGGACTAAATGAAAAAAATCTGACGATATAGTCGATTGGTTGCTGACAAATAATTTTAAGTATTTATCTTATGATAATAAATTTTACATAATTAAAATTCTGGGAAGGCCTCAACCAAATTTGATTTCAATTAAATCGTCAGATAGTCGACAAAATCGTGGATTTAATATTAGTTGGTACGATAAATGCGATTGGTTAACCGGCTCCATTAAACGAGAAAAACTCTTTTGTTGGCCGTGTGTTTTCTTTTCCGTACAAACCGAATACCAAACGTGGTCTAAAATAGGATACTCCGATTTAAAAAATTTACCTCGTGTTATGGGGCAAATATGATTCATAATTTGGCACTTTTTTTAAACATTAGCGTTTTTTCGGGCACCTCAAAAACCATCCAAAATGAGCTTATTATAGACAGTGTGGCATACATTATTAAGGAAAATATAAACAAGGAGATAGAAAGTGTTTCTTTTTTTGCATGGGAAATTTTTAGATATGTCAAAGATGGTAATGCGGTAGAACGTTTTATTGGTTTTCATGATGTTTCATCTGGGCGCACAGCTGACGATTTGTTTAATTTTTTAATTCGTACGGGTGACACCTATAATTTTATGCAAAAGTTAATTCCGCAAACCTATGATGGGGCTGCGGTCATGATCGGCCATTTAAATGGTTTACAAACTAAAATAAAGGCCATGGCTCCTCATGCACTTTTTACGCATTGACATGCCCATGCCCTAGCTTTAGTATTAAGCAAAGTGTGCAACAACATACAAATTTTCGCGCCTCCGGAGAGCTTTCCGGTGTGTATATAGTCTATATAACTTATTAAGCCTCCCCTGTTCTCCAATGCACGAGCTGTCACTGATCACTCAATATACGGCACTCTCACTCTTGATCAGGACCGTCCCAACTTTTCACTGTTTATTCGACTTGGAAAAGTTGGGAAATTTCTGGCCGTGAAGATAGAAAAAATAATAGTAGAAAACAATAAGCACAATATTATTCAAGTGTTGTTTCCTTTTATTTGTACTGAATATTCCTATACATGGTGGATATGGTGGAAAACCAAGGACCTTGGTCCAAAGCAGAATAATTCCCATTATTATTTTTATAATTACCAAAATTTATTTTTGTTTGTGCATACCCTAACGGGCATAAGTATTCAGCCAATCTTTGGATAGCTAAGTAAGAAAATTAATCTACTATATAAAAATGGATGTTTGTTGGTTGGCTGGTTGGTACCTAAGTGATAACTTCTACATCGCTCAACCAATCGTGATGATACTTGACATGTATAAGTAATTTTTCATAGGGAAGGTTATTAGGCTATCAATTGTTCTACAGCGCCACTAGATGGCGCTGCAGAACATTTTTTTGAAAGCAAAGTTCTATAACGCTGCGCACGCCTAAGTTCGTTGATTCTGATTCTGTCAAAACATTGGAACAGCATCGATACAGCAACATAGTACTAGTATATTATAATAGTAACTAATCCCTTGACTTTCATTTTTTCAAAAGTTGGGAAATTTTGCTGGTGGGGTTGGGAAAATTTGGATTCCCTCCCTCCACTGGTTTTTCTTTTCGCTACGGCCCTGCTCTTGATTCATTATACAATAAAGAGATTCAACGTACTTCGGCATTCCATTCACAGAGGCGCAAAGCGCATACCAGTGTTTACAATTGGAAACGATTATTGTTCCATATATCATGTGCGTACATGTTGAGTCATCTCATTTCTTGCGCCGAGAGATTTTGACAAAACAAAGGTAAATGGGTTTGAACACCAGCGTTTCTATGCATCTTCGTGTTAACAAAGTCCAATTCATATGTTCATATATATCCAGCACATATGGTCTTCCAACAGAGACTTCCAAACTTTGAAAATTGATAACGGCCATCTTGTTGAAGCTACATCTGTAAAATCAGTTGTCATTTATTCAGTCTGTTCTGCCAAGTCACCATGGACGGATATAACATTCAACAACACGTGCAAATAATGAAATTGTTTTATCAAAATGGGTAACGTACCGTGCTTCACTAATTTTATGGTCGCCATAATCGTCCCACCGAGAGTGCAACAGACTGTTGGTTGACACTGGAAGTCACAGCATTCTGGAAAAAACCTCTGCCTTTATGCCTCCAACTGTCAACTACGGACAACCTTATAAAGTACTATTTCCGAGTAAAGAGGACTGGATCCTCCGAGAGAAGGAAATATTAAGAGCAGATAGTTGTTGGATCACAGAAGGATCAAAACGCCTCCCGTTTCTGGTGCAGGTGTTTTTAGTCGCAGACCCAGGACAGAGATATTTACCTGCCTAGGAACCTATGCGATTGTATTTCAAGCGGAAATTTAGCTATTGAATTGTGTGCAGATAGATTGGAAGAATCCAACCTCATACACAAGTCAATAAAAATATTCTCGGTCAGTCATACGGCGTTGGAAGCTCTTGGTTCCTACCGAGCAACGTCTAAATTGGTAGCAAATTTACCCTTCGAAGCTTGATACCAAACAGTTGTTGGACTACAGTAGGAATGAACTACTGCAACACCCGTACGTCGACGAAACGTAAAATTTGCAGAAAACATCGCTGCTGTTTGTAAGAGTGCAGGAGAATCAAAGGCAGTCGATTTCGCGTCGCTCACAAGAACACGGCCTTTCGCGGACCATAACTTGGTGAATTTTGTGCCTGTACAAAATTCAACTGACCCAGGAAATGAAGGTTAACGATCATAGGCAATGCAGTTGGCAAATGACTCTCACTATCATCTTCAGCGATGAGACCCATTTCTGGATGAATGGGAACGTGAGCAAACAAAATTATCGAATTTGGGACGATACCAATCCACAGGAGATCCAAGAGCATCCAATGCATCCCAAAAAGTTACTTTTTGGTGTGGCGGCACCATCGGTCCATATTTCTTTGAGAACGACGTTGGCCAGGCCATCACTGTCAATGGCGAGCACTTTAGGTAGATGATTACCATCTTCTTTTGGCCAGAATTGGATGATCTGGACACCAACAATAGTTGGTGTGATAGTGTGATTTGACCCCGTTAGACTTTTTCTTGTGAGATTTTCTCAAGTCGCAGGTGTATGCGAATAAGCCACAAATTACAGCGGTTCTCCATAACTTATAACTCCACCCAGAGGAGCCGTGGCGGACATTTGAACGATATTATATTCCACACATAATAGCACTGATAGGTCTTTTGAATGAATGAAAACATTCCATGATATCTCACACACACTTTCCTTTATTTAAATTTAAAGATACGAAGCTCATAATGAAAGACCTTAGGTATGTATATTATGCGTTTAATATAATACTTGTGTATCCAGTATGTATCATTTGAAATATAGACGTGGTAGAGAACTTAGATCATATAGTGGCATCGATGGGGAAGATAGAAGAAGGCAATGGGGTGAAACCTTTCTGCGAGAAAATTACCAAACACAAGAAAACAATAATATTAAATGATATAGATATAGAAATAAAATTATTTGTCTAATTTCCACTTCCTTAATGTATTGATATTAATACGACCAAGGTTTCGGTTTTTACACCATTCTCCATTCTTAAGTATTCTAACACAACTGACCTAAGAGAAATAAGAGAAATATGGGGGTATATATATCCGAGAATAGGTAATAAGATATATACCTACATTCATTAATACCAACTACATAAACTTCAAACTGTGATTAATTGCGTTGTCATGTTTATAAATTCAAAAGTGGAGAACTACACAAATCTGTTTGTTCGTTAAGGGTTCTATATTTTAAGTTTTATTTGATTTATTGATTTCCATGGCTTCCAACGAATTCATTTTCCTTCC